GTAGTGTCTTTGAAAAAGTTATGCTTGCTTCGGCAACAAATATACTAAAATTGAGAAAGTGATCCAAAGAAGACTATGAGGTGTCCTTGATGCTCTCTGAGCTTGCTTGTTTTCTTGCAGAAGTTTCATTACCCTAACTACCATGGTTCCCCGAAAATAAGACAGGGTCTTATTTTCTTTTGACCTCCAAAATAGGCACTTGGCCTTATTTTCAGGGAGGTCTTATTATTTTTGAGATGTAGGTGTAGGCGTCGGCAAGTGTGGTCACCTCATGGCTACTGCTATGTTGCAACATTTTCAGAGAGGTCTAATTTTTGGGGGGAGGGCTTATTTTAGCGCATGTGCTCAAAAGCCCAATTGGGCTTATTATTCAGGAGGTCTTATTTTCAGGGAAACAGGGAAGGTAATATCATTAGTACCAGTCACTAGCACTGATGTTACTTACTTAGGGCAATGAAACGTCTTGCAAAAATACAAGCAAGCTCAGAGAGCACCCTGAGCTACAAATATTCTCCTTTACAGAAGACTACAGATACAGGTTTGGAAAAAATAATAATGATTTTTCAAATGCTTCGAGCTAGCATGTTCCTACTATTTCACTTATCAACATTCACAAACAAGGTATTTTAGGACAGATGCACACCATCACAGTTTTTACTCCCTATCACACATGTATTTTGAGAGTTGGAAACTGCAAGCATATCTCCTTCTTTTAGTCAATAGCCAGCCTCCACTAAAGCCATTTCTCCCCCAATGTTTGCTCCTTCCATTAGTATTTTATTTCCTAAGTTTCTTTTATATCTTCCCCTTCCCTCTTATTTTTGATACAGATTTTTCTCTATGTTTCCACAAAGAGTCAAGTCTATTTTATCTAGAGAAGAAGGGGAGAAAAGTTTGCACTTATGTGTTTAAGCGGTGTCCTAAAATGGATCTTTACTTTTAAATACCATATTTCTGCTTTTTTCTCATTGTGTTGCTCAGAGAGTAAGAAAATGTTGCACTTTTCTTGCTTATTTGCCAGTTTCCCTATATTTGTGAGTTTCATAATCATTTTCCTACTTCCCCTGTGTAGTGTGATAATTGGTTGCTCATTGTAGATTGTCATGGAGATAGCTTTGAAAGGAATATTCCAAAAACATTATGGAAACAAGGATAGAAACATTTCATAAGTCCTGGGAAGGGAGACAGTAATAGGAAGAAGCTTAGGCTAGCTCCAGAATGGTGGTATAAGAGGAAGGTAAGATAAAAGACAGACAGATTTGCAAGGTTCTATTAATACAGCCTATCACAATAAAGTTTAGTTCTGATCTGGTCTACCTCATCCAACAGCTAGCCTATTTCAGTTACCTCACTGTACAGAGCCTAGCTAATTGTACAGCCATGGGTCTGCCTCTCTCCTGATTGGGATTATTTCTGCATTGGTGTCTCCCTTTATGGTTCTTTTAAACTTGGAAGATGCTCCAGTTGGAGGGCAGATGAGCCAGAGAGGATCCTGAAGCCAGAATTTGCTGTGATGGATGTATTTTGGTTTCTTCTCTCTTTGATGGAAGGCTGAAAAGGGTCAGCAGCAAAATCAGAGGAAAAAGCCCGTCACCTTATAATGAATGCCACATTCACAAACTAGGTCACCGTCCAGCAGTAACTCAGATGCAGCAACGCTAAGATAAAGATTAACGGTGAAATCTGCAAATGCTATACCAACATTGTTTTGTTTCTGTGCCAATTTGAGGATAGGTAGCTAGTGAGGAAATTACCTGTTTCCATAGTGGGAAAAAGACCCACAGTCTCTTGCTTGGAGGTTTGCCTGCCCAGTTCCCTAAGTGATGCCTTAAAAGCACTTTTGCTTGCATGCACAGCAAGAAGTAAACACACACATTTTAACCTCTTTCCCTATTTGTCTCTCAAACCTAAATGCATCAGCCTTCGCTGCCAATCTCCACTTATTTTATTTGGCCTCTTGCCAAAGGATCCTTTCAGGAATGTGCAATTGGCAATACATACATTGTCAAGAAAAAGGAGAAAAATACATAAAAAGTGCTTGAATAAAAAAAATGAAATAAATATACATTAAAAAACCATGGTTTGGATAGGTTCACTTTCCTTTTAGGTGTGGCATTGCAAAGATGTGATGTGCCATAATTCTAACAGGAAGTTAAATAAGCCTAATAAGACAGTAGATTTGCAAGAACTTTCAAAATCAGTGGGAGCACTGAAAGACATCTGCTAGCATTCAAAGGAGGCAGTTACATGAAAAGGAAAAAAAAATCAGATGAGGGAAATCTGCATTTTAAAAAATCCTCAGTGAGTAATTTCTAATTATTAAGGAGATGGACATTGGGGATTCTTTTTATTGATATCTAATGGCTTTAAAATGGATGCAGATTTTGTTGCATATCTTCACAAAAAATATTAAAATAACAGTGATTAAAAATACTAATGTTTGACTCAGTACGTAGGTCTGATTAAAGCAATCTCTCCATATCTTATGGTTTATATTCTCAGCTCATTAACCTGGAAGGGAATGCGTTAATATCCATTGTGAGTTGTAACCAATTGTGACACAAAGCTGGGGATGGGGCAGAGTGAAGTTGCACAATTCTACATATAGATCTTGATGGGTGAGAATCACTACCGGTAATCTGTCTCACTAATCTGAGAAATATAGCCAGGTCTTGCTGATCTGTTTAAACTAGAGAATAACTTACATATAGGGATAACAATAAAATGTTTAACATCACACTTGCATATATATAAAGCTACATGCAGGACACCAATATTCTTTTAACTCTGGCCTGAAGATTTCCTACTGATACTCATAAGAAGGAGAATAGCTTAATTTTGGCTGAATTCTGGCCAAGGTTACAATCAAGTTTTCTATCACACAGGTGCTGTAGATGCATTTGCTCCTGCTTTTTGAGAGAACAATCAATCATTCTTTTGGCCCAAGATGAAAAAGGGAAAGAAAGAAAGGATTTTGGTTGATGAAAGAATAAGATTACACAGGTATAAATTCCAGCTCTGGTAATTACATTTTGCTCCTGGAATCCTTCCACAGAAGGCTCAATTAAGCCAAGGCTTTCTTCTTGGGGTCTGAAATTGTATTCTAGCATTGAGGTGTATTGCTTAACTGTAGCTCTTTTGGCCTGCCACATAGGTATAATTTAAGGTTCTTGAGTGATCCAGGCATGTCCTTCCTTGGACAAGACTCACTTCAGAAAGCTTTTCAAGGAAAGTGTAATTTCTCAGGTGTCAGTCAGTACTTTAAGTCTTACAGCTGCATGGTTTTGAGAGTTGTTACTAGAATGGTGCACACCAGAATGGGCTGTGCTTAGATCAGTGCTTCTTGATCTTGGCAACTTTTAAGATATGTGAACTTCAACTCCTACAATTCCCCAGCTTGGGAATTGAAGTCCACACATCTTAAAAGTTGCCAAGATTGAGAAATACTGGTTTAAATAATCTGTTTCTAACAAAACCAAAGTTAAATTCTTATCAAAATGAAAATAATATTGTTCTGTTTTGCATCTTCCTGCCCCTAAAGGTAACTATTTACAATGTGCAGGAAGATCTGCTGACATGTTAGGAATATCTGAGACCCCCCCTCTACTCCGACTTGTCTCTACCACCCTGGACTTTTTGGACTCTCTTCAGGCCTACAGGAGAAGACAGATTTTCTCCTGTCTACCATCTATTGCCATTGCCGGTTCTTAACCATCTCAACTATTTCCGGACTTTTAGAGTTATATTGCACAACTTCTAAGATCTGCGCAAACTGTCTTAGTATGTGGAGTGTCTGAGTATGTATGTTAATGAATGAGCCCACTTTTTTATTACTTTTAACTTTTATACCTTGTTTTTACTCTACCTGCTGTTTTTATTGTTATAGTGGGGTGTGCATGTTACGTTTGGCTGTTTGGTGTATATGAGGGGACCGGGAGTGCGGCCTGGGGCTCCCTCCACTGAGTGCAGAAGCAGAAGTGGATGGGGGCCCGGAACTGCCTCTTGTCCCGGAGTGTATAGGGTGAACAGCCTGCCGAGGAGAGTGGGGTCCATGGGTTGGGGAGAGGGGTCTACGGAAGGTGGGACNAATTAAAGCTAAAAGTGAGCTCTATCTTCTGGATAGGCCACCTTTCACCAGCGCTTGTCAGAAAAAGAAAAAACCACGTGCAGGAATCCAAAAACATATCCAAAGAGCCATCTGTTCCTTGAAGGTTTGCTAGCGTCCTACTGGTTACACTGCTGTATTTGACTGCTTAAAGACATAATTGATGCATTGCCCGACAGGAGGAAATGAAAGGTTTAGAGTTCAGCTTTCCCTGAAAAGGACGCCCACTTTAATTGCTCGGGTTTATGTGATGGGCTGTCAAGAGTCCTGAAACGACCCTTTCACACGTTTATGACTTCACTGGTGACTGGAGAGCATCAATCCATGCGTGCATTTGGTGGAGGCAGCAGCGAAGAGGTTGAGTAACCGAGATGTCTAAATGTTCAGGATGGTATTTATCAACTCAAGAGGAGCAGAAGGTACCAACACAACATTTGTGCTTTTCTATCGGGGTGCCCAGGGAACATGACCTGTTGGAGATCCAAGCAGTGCCAAGGAGGATGATCTCTTCTAGCTGCCCTGGAAATCATTATCGTGGGATGACAGCTGCCGTGTTATCTTCTAGCTGGCCCATAATTCAGAAGGGTTAAAATAAAAATAAATGGCCTCTCTGTCTACCCTTTCATTTTAAGGCCTCCAAATAAGCTCTGCATCCAAATTCTAATCAGGGAACAGAAAGAAACCACTTGTCAGCTAGGAATCCTCCTTCCTTCCCAAATGGATGTTCTCCAGATGTTTCGTCACAGGTGACCAGAGATGGACTGGCCAGGAACTGTGGAAGTGGTGCGCCTTGTCCTTCTGGAGGACACCAGACACCTCTGGAGACCTGAAAGGGATGGACAATACCAGGCGCAGCGGCCAAAGCTCACGTGCCTTCTAAACACAAGATGCTCACCATTCACGATGATCCGGATATCCCTGAAGTCCACTTCTCCCCGGGCCAAGATCCTTCCCTCACAGCGATACATGCCCTCGTCACTTTTCTTTATCCCTCTGATCTGGAGGTAGTTGTTGCTCAACACCACAAACCTCACTGGAAAGAATGGAAGAGAGAAGTTGGTAGATGTAAGTTTGGCCCTCAGGAGCTCCTAGCTCTCCATCCTGGGTGAGCTTCATGATGTGTCAAGCGTCCTCCTTTCATTACACATGGAAGGAGCTTCTCGGAAAGAGCCAAGTCCGATCAAACCCCACCACAGTTACTGGACTCAGCGTACACTCTGCATCCCAGATGTTTAAGATGGACTTATCAGTAGCTACATCTGGTGCTTCAGGATTTACTCATTCTGATAGTTTGCTCTCCAGAAGTAAGTTGGAACATTAAAGTCATGTGGAGGGCTTCCTGCACACCTCAAAACAAGCACATGCACACAAACACCACACAAACACACACACACACACACACAAAGATGCACACACACTTACCATCTTTCTTCAGGACCACATCTCTGCCCATGTGCTTCCACATAATTGTGGGAGGCAGCGAGGAGACAATATCACAGGTAATAACTGCATCTTCTCCTTCTTTGAACTCCTGTGGGCTGGGGGCATGTTGGAAGGTCATCTTCTCTGGAAAGTAGATGTAAGGAAAGGGAAGAAGATTAAATCCCGAGTCAGTCAGAGTTCATGCAGCAGACATGCGGATGTGGATGAGGAGGAGGTCTCCTCTTTTCTTGTATGTCCCATCACACTTGGCCAATAAAGAATTCTATTCTATTCCATTCCACTCCACTCCTCTCTACACTCTACTCTACACTCTATTCTACGCTATTCCACTTTCTATTCTACACTCTACACTCTGATCTACACTCTACCCTATTCTACTCTACATTCTACTCTATTCCATTTTCTATTCTACTCTACTCTACTCTCTACACTCTATTCTATTCTATTCTACTCTATTCTATTCTACTCTACTCTACTCTGAAACTGTACTCTATTCCATTTTCTATTCTACTCTACTCTACACTCTACACTCTACACTCTATTCTATTCTATTCTATTCTACTCTACTCTGAAACTGTACTCTATTCCATTTTCTATTCTACTCTACTCTACACTCTGCTGTACACTCTACTCTACTCTACTCTCATCTCCATTCCATTTTCTATTCTATTCTACTCTACACTTTACTCTATTTTTTTATTCTGTTCTGTTCTCTTCTTTTTTTAGCTAAAGCAGAGGTCAGGAGCCTTGCAAATCAGCTCCTGGAGCAAGTAGCTAACCACTAGACTGCTAATGGATGCCCGAGAGCTTCTCACATCACCCTATCCTGGAAGTTCTGCCCTGTCAAACACTGACATGAAGCTACAAGAAGTACACAAAACACATTCACCTTAACAAAAGCATGGATCAATTGAAAATGCACATCTCCGGAGTGAAAGTTGGGCTTTCTTATCTCAACCAGGGACCTATTTTGGAAGGGGCTTCACTGGGAAGGGAGCAGAACTGACAGGCCCATCACGAAAGTTGCATCTCTTCTTAGGTCATTCTATGGGAGACACCTCCAACCTTGGTCACTTTAAGACTTGTGGAGTTCAACTCCCAGAATCTGCTTAAAGTCATTCTATGGAATGCACGGCTGGCTGGGGAATTCTGGGAATTGAGGTCCACAAGTCTTAAAGTGGCCAGGTTTGGAGGGAGACCTCTGTTCTATGGGGCAGCAGGATTCCTGACAGAGGGGAAAGTAGAATTTAGGGTTAGGGTTAGTTTCATCCCCCATCCGACCCTTCCTTCTCCAGCCCAACCACTTACGAAAGATCTTCACGTTGAGTGTGGCCTCTTCCTCCCCCTCCTCACTGGAGACCACACATTTATAGATGCCGGCGTCATCGATGTTAGCGTTGTAGATGGTGAGAGTGGAAGAATCATCTGACCGGACCACGGAAATGTGCTGCTGGTTTGTCGTCAGCTTATCGCCATTGGGGGCAAACCAGAAGATTTCTTTGGATTTGGCATCACCGGTGACTGAAACAAAGGAAGGAATCCGAGGAGAAGCTGTGTTAGGGTATACGTGGCACTGGCATACTTTCAACACAGCGAGACCGAACCAAAGTCACATAGGCCAATACTAATTTTGTTGCAAAGATCTAGAAAGGGATTCTTGCAAGTCTGCGGGCACAATTATTTATTCGGTATTCAAATGTATTGGCCAACCCAACTCCAGTAGACTTTGGTCTTCCTTCCAATTCTCTTTATCTTCATGAGAACCAGGAAGGAGCTTCCCTGAGATGTTTTCTCAGGTTTCATTAATTTAATCCAGTGAATTTATTGGCCGCCCATCTCATAGTGCCATGATGGTGAATCTATGGCATGCGTGCCAGAGGTGGCACGTAGAGCCCTCTCTGTCGGCATGCATGCCATCACCAACTGATCTTCTGGTTTATGGTGTACGCCAGCTAGCTGGTCTTCGTGGGTTCCGGAGAACCAGAAAACAGCCCCAGAAAAGTTTTTTAAAAGGTCATTTTTGGGCCTTTTGCAGACAGTTTTTGGGCTGAAAATGCCCGCAAAATGGCCTGAAAATGCCAAAAAGACGCCCTCAAAAGCTCAAAAAACAGACAGATGTGTGCCAGCTAGCTGGTGTTCAGGTTTTCAGCACTCCAGTGTAAGCACACATCCCTGTCCTAGTGCATGACTCAACAGCTACAGGTTACATGGTGTAGGATTTCCCACCGGAGCAGGGGATTGGAGTAGAAGACCTCCAAGGTCCCTCCCATCTCTGTTACTCTGCTATTATTTCTGCCCGGGACTCAACCCCCTTTTATCTGTCAGTTAACTCAGCTACTGCAGGAGGAGGAGAAGAGATAGCTCTATTCAGTGGGTTTACTCCCGTGCAAGATTGGTTGATTACGCAGCTGCTCACCTTGACATAAGAAAAATTTGGATTCTCCAACGGGCACCTCCACCTTATTTGGGACGATGTTCACCTGAAGAGAGACTGAAAGATAGAAAGAAGCAACATGAGGTTACGATGTTCTTGCTCACCAAAGAAAGAATATAATATAAATTGCAGCACTGAATGTCCGCAGAATACTATTAGGTCTATGACTCTGGGCTGGGTTAAGGCTGCAGTCAGCAGGTTTACCACCAGCTTATGCGGTACTTAGGAGGTGAGTTCTTGGCAGCAGAAGGAAACAACAACCAACGATTTAACAACAACTGGGGCCATCAACACGCCGATCAATCAATAAGCCACACCCAACCAGGCACCAGATCAATACTATGCACAGAATAGCCTAAAGCAGTGGTCTCCAAACTTGGCAACTTTAAGACCTGTGGACTTCAACTCCCAGAGTTCGCTGGCTGAGGAACTCTGGGAGTTGAAGTCCACAGGTCTTAAAGTTGCCAAGGTTGGAGACCACTGGCCTAAAGCACTTCTTCTCCATGGAACCCCTTTAGATACCTTTGGGGGCCACAGACCCCAAGACTTAACTCAAGATTTAAATCATAATATTTCTTTTTTTTTTAATTGAAAAGTTTTTTGGTTTTTATTCTCTTACATACAATTACAGGTAATACATTCACATAGTTCTTCTTCTTCTTCACATTTGTCATTCCTATACATTTGTCATTCCATTTAAAAGGTTATAATATACAGTTTGGGATGCTTTATTTACCATCCCTTCCTCCTGTTATAACACCACCTTATTTTTCCCTTTCTTTTCTCCCCCTTGTATCTCACACCCCCTTTTCCCCGCTCCCTTTCCTTCCTTTCGTTTCCCTTTTTCTTCTTCTTCTCTTCTTTGTGTTTTATACAATAAAATAAAACCATAATACTGTAAAAAAAAAAAAGACTGTTAGTGTAGTGAAGACGCTGTAGGGCAGGGGTGTTCAAACTTGAGAGCTTTAAGACTTGTGGACTTCAACTCCCAGAATTCCCCAGCCAGCCTTAAGTCTTAAAGTTCCCAAGTTTGGACACCTCTGCTGTATGGGGTTCTAACAAGATTATTGGCCTAAATCTGACCACCCTTGCAACTTAAAATTGGAATACATCTTGCTGCAAAAATTAAGAAAAGAAAATGTTCTTTAAAAAAGGATAAAATTTACCCCTCAGTTATTTTTGTTAGGTATAATTACTGATTGTACAGTTGTCG